ATTGTGGTTATGACTTGGGTTGATAACCACAAGGTTAGCAGTTCAAAACCACCAGCCACTCCGAGGGAGAAAAATGGGACTTCTATTCCCGTGAAGAATAATGATCTTAGAATCTCGCAGAGGCAGTTCTATCCTGTTCTATAGGGCCGCTATGAGTTGGCATCGACTCAATGGCAGTGAGTTTGATTGATATTGTCTCTGGTTTGTTCACATCTTTTGCCCATACTCATTGGGTTGTTTGCTTTCTTCTAATTATTGAGTTTTGAGACTATTTTATGTATTTGGACTACAAGTCCTTCATTAGATATGTAACTTGCAAATATTTTCTCCAGTCTGTAGCTTCTCTCTTTCACACACTTAACAGACTTTTGAAAAGCACAAGTGCTTATTGTTAGGTCAGGGACAGGCTCTCAGGGCCTCAACCCTTCTCCCTGCATGTACAGACAATTCTCAGAACAGGCTCCAAGAATAACCACCTTTCCTCCCACCAGCAATGGCTGGGCAATTAGACTAAGGAAATATGACAGCAGTGGAAAATCTCCAGCAGCTGCAGCCCCTCCCTTTCCCCAGAGGGTCCCTCTTTGGCCCCTTCTTTAAAAACCCACCACTCTCCTCACCGGGTGTGGCTTCCATGGACTACTTGCTAGACCACAGAACCTCGTCCGGGAACTTCTTTTCTAATAAAGAGCTGTTACAGCTTCTTAACTTTTCCTCTCTTTGTTTGTCCTTGTGCCTCAGTTTACCACTCATTTGGTGCCAAAACCCGGGAGAGAAGGGGTCCTGACATGCCCCCACCCCATCTTGGGTGAGTGTGGCGCTCTCCTCCCGAACCTCTGCCATCAAGTCCTGACTTGCCAAGACTCCGGTTAGTACTCTGTTCTGGGTCTTGTCTCACCTTGGCTTCAGCAAATCCTCGCTTTCCATGGGGCCCCCTACCCTTTGTCTCTGTGTTTCCTTCCTAGGGTTTCTGCCAATAACAGGACTGTTGTCCCTGGGTTTGGCAATCACTGTGCCCTCAGACTGGACTAGATGGCAGAAGACATTTTGGGGCCTTTTCTACTTGTTTGTGTGCTTTGTGTTTTCAGCTCTGTGGTGCCTTCTCTAACATCTTCTACTTCCCCTTTTCTTATCCTGGACAGAGGCCTCTGACCCACACTCTATTTATCGGCCACAGAGCAGGCTTCCTTCCTCAGCTTCCTTTGTGCCTCTCTCTGCCCAATGTCCCTGTCTGCCGAACAAGCCACAGATCTGCACCAGGGAACCTTCCCACCTCTGAGAGCCCAGGACTCTCCCCAGGGTCTCTGACTCTGATTGGGATGCCCCTGGAGTCAGTGGACCTTCCTCTCACTCCAAAGGCAGCTAGCGAACTCGGGGGCGCCCTACTTCCCCATCCGCTTTTCCACAGCTTGGGACACAACGAGAAGCCAATCCAAGCCCCCCAGGGACAGCCCTTTGGGGTGTTTGCTGGCCAATCTCTCCAAACTGGGACTGTCCCCAGACCTGCTCCCTAGGTGCCTGGTTTTCTTTTGTAACCAGGTGTGGCCTCAATACCTATTGGACAATGACTCTCACTGGCAAAAAACCCCGGTACTTTCTATTTTAATATTCTCCAAGATCTTGATAGCTTCTGCCAGCGTATCCCAAGTGGTCTGAAATCCCTTATGTCCAGGACTTTTTCTTTCTTTGCTCCTGTCCCTCTCTATGTACTACCTGTCTCCCGCCCAGGTGCTCCTAGCAAAGTCCCTTCCTCCAACTCTGCCACTCCCCAAGGAAAAAATTTTGTAATTTCCCCCATCTCCGTCTCCTCTGACACCCTGGAGTCACTGTCCCTGGTTTGAAGCCTTCCCAACTCTACGAGAAATGGCTGATACTGTCACTAACATCATTATTAACCAGATTGTTCCTAGATTTGGACTCCCCAATTCCATTCAGTCAGATAACAGACTGGGCTTTGTGTCTAAAATCACCCAGCAGGTCTCTTTTGCCCTGGACATAAAGTGGAAGCTCCATATACCATATCAGCCACAATCTTCTGGAAGGTGGACTATATGAATGGCATCATAAAAAGTCACCTATCAAAGCTTCGCTGGAGCTCCGCAAGTCCTGGGTGGACTCACTCCCCTGAACCTTAGCACACATCCATGCGGCTCCTTGTTCTCCCTCCTTCCTAAGTCCCTTTGAGCTAATGTATGACAGACCTTTCCTAATTTATCACAAGCTACTAATACAGCCTCCTTCTCTATCCACTTATTTGCCTTACCTTTCTCTTTTAAGACAGCATCTTCCAGAACACACAGATTGGTGCCTGCCCAGCCCAGACTCAACACAGCCTGACCTGCCTGCTGTCAGCCCTGGAGAATCAGTGCTCCTAAAAGAATTACAGCCACAACCCCTCCAGCCAAAGTGGAAAAGACCTTACACCATAGTCCTCACTACCCCTACAGCGGTTAAGGTACTTGGGGACCCCAACTGGCATCATCTCAGCTGAGTTAAGCAGATGACTCCAAGTTATGGCCCCCTGTATTCCACCCAAGTCCTGGGGCCCACTCACATTCGCTTTACTAGGGTGCCTCCTGCAAGGCACCCTAAGCCAAGGTAGAGCTCCAAAGCCCAGAGTAAACCCTTTGTGTGGGAATTCATCGTCCATGAATCTTATTGGCTAACAATGCTGCACAAACATATGTGGCTGAGAAAGGATATTGCTGCACGACAAGGTGCCAGTCACAAGTTTCAATCTACTTTCCCCCGGCACCCTAAAATCGATAGCTATATCCTTGGCGGCACAGCACCAAGCCTTCCGGCACCCAAGGATTCATCGGCAATATGTAAGAGTTCATCCTGGGAGTTTTGATAAATTAGACCAAGTGGTACAGGCGATCCAGGATAGTGAACAATCCTTAGCCAACCAGCTTGCGGCAATAGAGGGCTCAGCACAGACAAAACGTCCTGACAACCCATTCACCTGGGTAAAAGTGACTCAGGAGGCCGCAGCCCTCCTCAGTGTTTCAGGAATAAACAATATGACCACCTGCTTTCTCTGTGTCTCTTTACAGTACCCTCTACTAGCTGCTGTGCCCCTATTAACATTTTTCTCCCTCGGATAAGTCCGAGGAGTGCCTTGCACCCTTGAAGAGAATTCCTCTGTATAACCCCTCAAAGGCCAGCTGGAATAAAACCTATCCCATTTGCTATCAAAAACCTCCGGCCTCAAACTACCAGTGCAAAAGCACCCACAGTATATCTTGGGTTCTCAAAGCTCCCCCAGGCATGTTATTTTGGTACAATGGCACCCTTATCAAATGCATCAATGACTCTGTAGCAGGTCCTTGTCTCCCAATCACTATAGTTCCCCAAATTACTATGTGCGGGACTGCTGAATATGAATGGCTATGGGGTCTTAAAAATCAACACACACAACTACCTGCATTGGTTGGCCTTAGCTTCACCTCCTTGTTTGCAGCAGCTGGACTCTCTAGTGGGGGCCCTAGGCCAAAGTGTGCTCCAGGTACAAAATGTTGAGAAAAGACTCCAACTGGTCATGGACTCCACCTCAGAATCCCTAACCTCCTTACAACGGCAGCTTACTCCCCTCGCACAAGTAGCCCTCCAAAACCGTAGGGCACTAGATCTCCTAACCATGGAAAAAGGTGGTACCTGTGTTTTGAGGAGAAGAATGTTGCTATTACATCAATGAGTCTGGAGTAGTAGCACAGAATGTAAGAGTTCTTAACAAGATGGCGGACGAGATCAGGAACCACCAATGGGACAGTACCTCATTAACTTCTTGGTTTCAAAACCCTCTTGTCTCCTGGCATCTCCCTTTGGCTGGGCCACTTGTGGTCATATGTTTTCTGTTGTTCATAGGCCCGTTTTTTCAAGTTTCTCTAAAACAGAATAAGGGACATAACTAATTTAACTGTTAACCAGCTTCTTTTACACCCTTACAGCTCCTGCCTACCAAACCTGACTCAGCACACTCCAGCCTGTAGCCTGTCGCCCACCCCCACCCCCTGTCAGCAGGAAGTAGCCAGAATGTCTCATGTCGCCCCCTATCACCAAAAGGCTGGGATGTCGGGTCAGGGACAAGCTGTCAGGGCCTCAACCCTTCTCCCTGCACATACCAGGAAACAAAGCTGATGGACAATTCTTGGAACAGGCTCCAAGAATAACCATCTTTCCTCCCTACCTGCAACGGCTGGACAATTAGACTAAGGAAATATGACAGCAGTGGAAAATCTCAGGCAGCTGCGGCCCCTCCCTCTCCTCAAAGGGTCCCTCTTTCGTCCCTCCTTTAAAAACCCACCACTCTCCTGACTGGGCATGACTTCCCTGGGCTCCTTGCTAGACCATGGAACCTTGTCTGGGAGCTTCTTTTCTAATAAAGAGCTGTTACAGCCTCTTAACATTTACTCTCTTTGTTCTCTGCCTCAGTTTACCTCTCACTTATGTTGATGACATATAATTCTTCAATATTTTCTTTCATCGATTGTGCTTTTGATAACTTATCTAAGAAACCTCTGCCTAACCCAAGGTTCCAAGTATTGCTCTTATGTTTTCTTCCAGAAATTTTGTAGTTTTAAGTTTTATATGTAGGTCTTGGAAAGATTTTTGGTTAATATTTTTTAATACATTGTGAGATATGGATCAAAGTTCATTTATTACATATGGATGCCCAACTATCCCAGCACCATTCGTTAACCATTTTCTCCATGACCTTTGCTGCTTTGTTGAAACTTAGTTGGTAATATTTTGTGTGTATTTCTCAACTCCCTATTCTTGTCCACTGGTCTATGTGTCTGTCTTAATGGCTAGTACCACCAAGTCTTCATTACTGCAGCTTCCTAGTCTTGAAGCCAAGTACAGACCCTGCAGCTTGCTCTTTTTCAAAATTGTTTTGGCTATTCTAGGTGCTTTGTGTTGTTACATGAGCTTTAGAATTTGTCTTATCAATTTCTACCCAAAATGCCCACTTAGATTTTGAATGGAACTTGGTTGAATCTATAGATTAACTTTAAGGAGAACTGACCTTGTAACGATATTGACTGTTCCGTCCTGTGAACATGGTATTCTCTCCATTTATTTAGGTTTTCTTGATTTCGGCGTAGAGCCCTGGTAGCACAGTGGTTACCCATTGGGCTGCTAACCTCAAGCTGGACAGTTCAAAGGAAGAAGATGAGGCTTTCTTCTTCCATGAAGACTTCCAGTCTCAGAAACCCACAGAGGCAGTTCCACTCCGTCCTATAGGGTCTCTGTGAGTCGGAACCGACTTGGTGGCAGTGAGTGGGTTCTAACTTGGCAGTTTTGTAGTGTTTAGTGCACCAGGGTACTAAACTCTCCAGCACTCTTCCGTCAGTTTGTCATTCTGTGGTGGCTTGAAGGTTGCTGTGATGCTGGAAACTGTGGCACTGGCACTTAAGATACCAGCAGGGTCACTCGTGGGGAACAGGTCTCAGCTGAGCCTTCCATCTAAGAAGAGACTATGAAGAAGGAATACGTTGTCCACTTCTGGGGAATTCGCCACTGCAAATCTTGTAAATAACAGCAGAACGTTGCAGATATGGTGCCGGAAGATGAGTCCCTCGGTTGGAAGGCAGTCATAGTAGAAGAGCTGCTTCCTAACAGTAGAGTAATGGATGGAATACAGCTGGATGCTATGGATGAATAAAGCTTGGGAGCCCATCATTTGCTGGTGGGATTGTAGTAGCTCTAGGAAAAGTTTAAACAGCCTTGCCAAGAGTGAAGCCACTTTGAGCTGACAGAAGACATTATGAACTATAAATGGACTAGCTATGAACTATAAATGGACTAGCTGATATTAAGGAGGAGGCTGTGCTGACAAGTGCAACGGAATGTACCAAAGGTAATGTATGTTCAGAAGTCTTGGAAGAACAATCAGAGCGATTATTGTCCAAGAGCAGTTATTGTTTGACTAACAATGGCTAACCACAATATCCTACTTCTGTGCTCGGCTTGCTTGCAAACCTGCATGTTGCAACAGTATGAAAATCTTTGGAAAAGTAAACGGGGGACTGTTCAGTCTCCTCTCAAAAGAGCTGACGGTCCCTGCGCAGGAAATAAAACTCTTTCTTTTGAACTTGTTGGCGGTCTGGGTTGTTTTCTTTCTGGGAACAGACAGTAGGCTACAACAGGATGTAACTCAAAATGAAAAGAACCAAACCTCAAGATGCAATAGTGTAGGATTCCTTGGATTCATCTGCTTCTGTAGCCACCAGCGTGTGGTCTTCCTATGCCTCCAGCTTAACCTCTGACCCACAGACTTGGAACTTGCCTGGATTTGGACTTTCCAGCTTCTACAACTGTGTGAGCTATTTTCCTAATATAAAGGTCTCTCTATATATACGTAGAGCTATATCTCAGCTTTTGCTTCTCTAGAGAGCCCAGCCTAAACCAAGGTGCTTGACACAAGCCATGATATTTCTGATCACCTCATATGCATAAGGAAGCTGGAAGACCACAGGATCGATGTATTTGGGTTATGATGTTGGCAAAGAACACTGAAAATATCCAGGATTGCCAGAAGAACAAAAAAACATTGGAATAAGTCCAGTGAGAATTCTCTTAGACATAGGCACATGTTATCAGGAGATCGGTGCCTGGAAAAGGACCTCATGCCTGGTAAGGCAGAGGGTGTGGGATGCAAAAGGGTTTTTCCCAGGCTCCCCATATTGAATGCCTGGTCCAGGCTGCTTGCTAGTGCATGGGAGGTCAGCTGCTTAGAGGTATTCTCCCTGAGGGCATCAACCATCTAGAGCAAGCAAGCACTATATTCTGTCCCACTGTAGATGGGGCTCATACCCTGCTGATAAGGATAGTGATTGTTTCCCTGAAGGAGAGCCCAAAGACAAGGTCAAGCCAACTCAAGTAGAATCAAGTTTAGGGTGCCATCTTGAATCTAGGATCCACCCATCTTGACATGTGTACCCCTAGTCCCTCCCCTTCCTATTGCATATAACCCCTAGATCATCCTCCTCCTATTGCCTATGTTGCCTATATTACAACCCTTCCTGTTACATATGTGGTTACCTGTAATCAGGGGGGCTTGCACACCCATAAGTATATAAAAGCCTTGGGTTAGAAATATATACTCTCGCTCTGCACGGACCTGGCTGCTGAGATCATGGCTGTCCCGGAGGTGAGCATGCTGTCATAAAATGTGCCTGACTCCTTTATTTTACTTTCTCTCCCATCTCTCTTATCTTTTATGACTTTACTATGGTCTTTATGTATTATCACTATACAATTGTGCCTATGGACCTTGCGGTTGTTAGAGGATGGTTTACTCTAACAGCAGAGGATTAATCAAACAGAGAAATACCTTCAACGAGATGGATTGGCACCAAATGTGGTTGCAATAAGCTCCCACGTTGCAATTTTGAGTATGGTGCGGGACTAGGCGGTGTTGTTGTTTTGCATGGGGTCACTATGAGTCAGAACTGGCTCAGCGGTGCCTGATAACCACTGGGTAAGTAAAACAGTATTGCTGTAGAAACATTTTAAAAAGAAGATTGTAAAGTTAATTTTTCTTGACATATCCTCCATCTAAGTCTACACTCACACTCTTCTGAAGGTGGTGTTCCCATCTCGTTGACCCTTCTGCTGGGAAGTGGATTAATAAAAGACTCTAATTCCCACCAAACTGCTTGGGTCTGGTAAGAAGGTGGGGGGGGGGATATACTGATAGAACTCACCTGTAATTAGGAATACCATCCTGATGCATTCTAAATGAGCCCTCTGAGAAACATGAGGGATCTCATTACCAGCAAGAGCCAGGTGTGGATTTTGTCCTCTGGACCCAAGATCCCTGTGCAGCAAGCCTCCAGGATCTAGAAGACAGCTGTACCATCAGAGGAGCAGCAGCCAGACTTGGAGCAGAGTGATGGGCTTCCCAACGGAGCAAGAAAAGATGAGTGCTTTTGTGCAGGAGGCTCGCTTGTGGAGTAGTGCGCTTCTGGCTGGGCACTTAATTGGGGAAGTTGGCCTTGTTGACCCACAGAAGTGGAGCTAAGCGTCTTTGGCCTGAGGCTTATGGCGAGGGGTGCCCTTGGGCATTTCATTCAGAGAGCTGGGTTTGCCTGAATTGAGTGCCTTTGGGTTGAGGTTTACAGCAGAGTGGTAGGCCCCTTTGAACAGTGATTAGCAGACCAGAAAGAAGTTCGTAACATATCCTGAGCATTTTTCACTGGCATTATTTGCTCACTTCCTTAACACTAGGTAAATGGGATGCATCATTTTGGCACATTTTTATTTCCTCAAGAAAAATTACAGAAACCATTTACATTTACCTCCTACCATTTATGCTGCCTTCTACCCATTTAGCTTGACAAAAATATATCCAAATTCAATTTCTTCTAAGCCTTCTAATCTCAAAATTCTCACTGTGGTATACCATCTCTACAGGTATGCATCAGTCTGACACCAACACATATTGAGCATTAATCCCAGGTTTCATTCGTGAAAGCATTACTTAACTCACAAACATAGTCCAAAAGTTCTTAGAAAGTGACATCAGATGTAAAGACCAACAGCGCAGCAGAGATGGTCATACTGACAGACCCAAGAGACTTACAGTACATTGAACCCAGTATCTCAAACGCTGTATCATGTTAAGTCTTATAAATTTATCTCTATAGTATCCCACAGTTCGTGTTATAAGTTAATGGTGTATCAGTATGTTGCCTTTAGTTTGGGGGAGCAACAGACGTGTGAAGGGGAACGATGAGGGCTGAGGAACGGATGGGGTGAGGCATCTGAGGCGTGCGGGCCTGGCTTCCCCTGTAGGATGGCAGCTGCACTGCCGGCACAACCTTGCTCCCAGGCACTGTCCTGGCCTTTCTCCGACCAATGCCGTTTCCAGTTTATTTAAAACTCATGAAAATCTATCAGAATTAGCCTATCAGAATCAGCAAATCCCCTCAAAAGCCACTGTTTTGATTGGGCTTTTTTCCCCACCCCCCTTAGGCACCCTAAAGAGACTAAGATGCGTGTATAACTGAGAGAGCTTGTTTGCAGTCATCCACCAAGGGAAGACATGGTAACATGTTCTGTTCACCATCAACCCATGACCCTTGTATACCTATTTACATCATCACAAAGGAATCACCATCGAGTCCACACCAACTCACAGGGACTCTGGGACAGAGTAGAACTACCCCATAGGGTTTCCCAGATTGAAATGTTATGGAAACAGACTGCCACAAGTTTTGAAGAGGCTAGTGTAGGGGTCGGCTAACTTGAGAAGTCAATCCTATTCCTCACAGCAATTTACAAATTAGTCGAGAGCCATAAATACATTCTTACAAACAAATGAAACCACCCTTATTTGAATAATATCCTTTACAATTTTTCAATTTTGTTTCAGAGCCACATGTACATACTGAAAAAGCCACACAGGGCTGACAGGCAGTTTGCTGAACCGTCAGGCTAAGTGAAGAGCTTGACTCTTAGTTTGGCTAAAATCAAAAGATGAGAGTTATGTGTTGGTGAGAAGGTGGGGAAGCTAGAACCCTCATGTACTCCTGGTAGGAAAGTGAAATAATGTAGCTGCTTTGGAAGTGTGCCAGTTCCTAAAGAATTCAATGTAGTTACCCTACTACCCATCATTCTACTCCTAGATAACTGAATTCAACCGAGAATAGAAAGTATGTGCCCATGCAAAAACTTGACACAAATCGTCATAGCAGCATTATCTTGAATGGTCCCCAACCAGAAACCCAGAAGTCCATTAATTGGATGAATAACCAAATTTTTGTATATATGTACAGTGGACTATTCACCATAGGAAAGAATGAAGTACTGACCCAGGCTACATGAACTATGCTATGTCAAAGGCATGAAAGGCCCTGTTGTATGACTTCATTTCTATGAAGGAGCCAGAATAAGCAAACCCAGAGATGCAGAAAACATGTTTTCCAGGAATGGGGGCGGCATGGTAACGGGGAGCGAAAGCTGATGATGTCAGTTCCGACCCACGGCAACTGTGCACAACAGAACGAAACACGGCAGTCCTGCGCCGTCCGTGCAACCGTTCCTGTGCCTGGGACCGCTGGGGCCGCCACTGTCAACCCACCTCGCGGACAGCCTTCCTTTTTCATTGCCCCTCCACGTTACCAAACATGATGGCCTTCTCCAGGGGCATCCTGACATGTCCAAAGTGTGTAAGACGACGTCTTGCCATCCTTGCCTCCAAGGAGCACCCTGGCCTTACTTCAAGTCATATCCGTTTGGCCTTTTAGCCGTCTTGGTACTGGGCAGCTAACTGGGTACTGGGGTTTACTGATCATGTGATGAAAATGTTCCAAAATTGATCATAGTCATGGTTACACAACTGTGGAAATATTGAAAACCACTGAATTTCTTTTTATATGGGGAGAAAAAAATGTCGAGTTTGGCAAAAGTTATCAACTTACAGATTGTGTTAGTCTGGGTACTTTACATGTATGAGAGAATTTTATATAAAGGTTAAGTGCACATCAAGAAAACATCCCATGTGACCTCCTCCCTGGGGGACAGACAACCAAAAAGTGGATGAAGGGAGACGTCGGACTGGGCAAGATATGACAAAATACCCATTTATAAACTATCAAGGGCTCATGCGGGAGGGGGGAGCGGGGAGGGAGGGGAAAAATGAGGACCTAATGTCGGGGGTTTAAATGGAGAGAAAATGTTTTGAGAAACGATGTACAAATGCGCTTTACACAATTGATGTGTGTTTGGATTGGGATAACAGTTGTATGATCCCCTAGTAAAATGTTAAAAAAAAAAAAAAAATTTAATCAAAAAAAAAAATAAAAAAGAAAACATCCCAACCCAGTGCTGCCCAAGCCCACAACTCCAACATTAACCCATATGTCCAACACCAACCCACAAAGTCCTCCTCTATCTCACAACACACACACAATGATGCCAACTGCAGGAGGAAAGCCTAATCAGTGAATGTGTAAGCATCTCAGCGCTGGCAGGGGCCTCCACACGGCTGCTCCACCCAAGACTGCATCGGGGTAGGTCCATGCGGCTTCTCCTTGGGGATGTCTTGGAGGAAGTGAGCCTTGCCAGCTGAAGCAGGGAACTGGCTAATGCAGCTGCACCCTGGTCCGACCATCAAGAGACAAAGAGACTCAAAACAAGAGACCGTCAAGAGACAAAGCAAGAGACCCAAGAACTAGAAAGACGAGGCTTACTGAGCCATTTCTCTCTCCACCCTTCAATTAACCCCACGTGTTTATCGGCCTGGTTGGCACAATACACTTTAACCATCTCAGAGATTCAAGTTGAGATAGGAATAGGATAAGTCAAAGAGCTTCACACCCAAACACCTGATATTCAGACCTCAGGCAACTAAAGACAAGTCTTGAAAGAAGTGAAAGAATGGCTATTTGCCTACCAGGGAGAAACCATTCAAATGACAGTGGATTTGCCTCCAGAATCCACGGAGGCAAGCAGGAGGTGGAATGTTTCAAATGCTAAGAGAAAAGAATTGCTAGCCTTGAGTTCTCTCCGAGGCGAAATTCCCTTCAGGAATGAAAGGAAAATGCGAAAGCATCGCTAAAAACAATAGGATTCTCTTCCCTCTTGAATTTTCTAGATTGTTTGATGGTAAATCAAGAAGCGCATCATCGATATGATTCTCAATGTGATAATGTGAGGTTTTCCCCTCACTGGAACTGGGGAGACCCAGGTAGTTCACTGGTGAGGAGTGATGTTTGCGTGGTGAGAACAGAGAGAACCCTAGATAACCACACAAAGTGAGAATGCAACAGCGTTTAACAATGTATCAGTTGCTCACCCACTGCCATCAAGGTGATTACAATTCATAGCCACAATACACCATTTCTGTGTGTGAAAACTCGGGGTGCAGATGGCCTCAGCTTCTCCTATGGAGCAGTTGGTGGGTTTGAAACACTGACCTTGCAGTGAGCAACCAATACCTATCCTACAGCCCCACCTGTAAATGTTTTTTACAAACAGTAAGTTTTCATTAAAACAGGGTGTACCCATTTTCCTCTACTTTCTATGACGTTGTTCAAGTTACTTTAAATAAAAATTAAAAATTTTTTAATTCACTGCCATAGTCAATTCCGACTCATCAAGCCTGGTCTTTCTCACTCAGAGTGACTGGTGGTTTCAAATTGTTGACCTTGTAGTTATCAACCCAATGCATAATCACTATATCAGGGTCTATATGCTCTGTAAAATAAAGCTAATAGCATTCACTTTTGATTAACTAGTTAATATACATTAGCTATGATGATTATAGCAATTATATATATCACACACTATTACTGAGTCAGATTTTTATCCTTGTCTCCCTAATTCATATACTTGTGCAAGTTTAAATGAAGATTTAAATTTGTTAAATGTGTTAAGATGTCTCCCTATATCAGATGATTAAAACTTCTGTTTTGGTCTTTTGTTTTTAATACAGTCTGAGCCAGGATGCAGGAAAAGATGAATGTATGTCACTTTGCTTCTCACAGTGACGGGTGTACAGCAGGACACAACAAGTGAAGCTACAATGGTTTACTGTTTGTGAAGAAAGAAGACCTGGCATTCCGAGGTGCAGGCGCAGTCTGTGGGAGGAGCTGGCAGCCCCAGGGCCGCGGCTCTAAGGCCGGAGGGCGCTTAGGTGGCAGCTCTCTTCAAGCCTGACCAAATGGAGCGCTTCATCCCCTGGGCTGTCTTCACGTCTTCCCAGTCAAGCCTGATGTCTGGAACCTCATCTTCTGGTTCTGGGTCCTTTCTCAAGGCCCCCTGGGGGGAGGCGACCACGATGGGCAGAGGGCCACATTCCTCCCGGAATTCCACCACATGGAGACCCTTCTTATCAGCCAGCTGCTGGTGAGTTTCCTGGGGAAGACCAAATTAAGAGCACCACGTCAGGACAAGGATGCACGTGCTTAGCTGGCACCAATTTAAAGAGCAGGCACTTTCATCAGAGGGGAGTCGCCAGTGAATACAAGTCACTACACTTGAGGGAATCTAAACACCAGACTCTGGGTGTTATGTACGAGGACGCTCCACGAAGTTCACAGACAAATGGAATCGAGACGTGACTGGACTTCTCCACCCACTTCGTGGAGCCCCGCAAATGCTGGGGCTAAATTAGGATGACTCGTTGTAGGTGGAACCCACACCAACCGGGATCCACAGTCTCCTAAAGGCTAGCAAACGGAGCCTCCTGAGCCGCTGCTCAGGCAGACCCCTGCAGTCACACCGCTTCCCTCAGCCTTGCCGTAGTACTGCGAGGCCGGTAGATGCCCAGGACTGCCGTCTGTACGGAGGAACACTCTGGCCTATTAAGGTTCACCTCTCCTCCCCTGTGCAGAGTCGGTAACCCTAGCTACCCAGGCAATGAGAAAACAGGCTCAGCTCCCAGTGAAGACCCCACCCTTGCGGGGAGAGGGGCCCAGGGGCCTCACCCTAGTTCTGGTCCTGACTGAAAAGACTGAACTTGGGAACCTTGAACTTTGCAGCTCCGTATTGCTGGACCCTTCAAACAAGCACAGATTCTTTTCCTAACAATGGCTTTGAAAAATGCTTCCTCTTGAAGCTTCCAAAGTTGCACTGAGTTAATCCAGCCACAGACCACGAAGACGGCCGAGTCCTCAGGTGACCTGCAGAGGGCGTCCAGGAGGCCTACGTCCACACGACTGAGCACTGCTGGGTCAGTGGGGTGCTTACCTGGCTGGCGAGTCCATGGAAGAAGCACCGCGTGAGGTTGAGCATGTTTCGGGACCCAGACACCTTGGCATACATGTCTTTGATGCCAATGAGTCGGCACATGGTAATGATGGCCCGGTGGCAGCGGAGGCCGTAGCCTGGGAAGGGGCAAACTGAGTCAAACGCTGGCCAGCGCCTGCAGCACAGGCACTCGGCCACCTGCTGCCTTCGTCAGGAGCCGGCCGTGATGCATTGCAAAACGAAGAGTGAGTGAGAATTAAGAGAGGGCTACAAGTGCAAGGAGAATTGTGAGACCCCTGTGAGTCCGTGGCCACCTCACACCAATACTAACCTAGCACTGTGACCCCTCTATCATCACCCCGGCTCCCTGTCCACTTCCTCCTGCTGGCCTCGCCAACACACCCTCTCCTGGAGCTCCTCCTGGGTACCGGTCCCTCTTTCTCCTCTCCAGTCACCTGCCCTACGCTTGCCCACCTGCCACGCTGGTTTTCCCGCGTCAGAACCCTGACATGGTGTTTCCGGGGGGTTCTCCCGGCCTCCCACAACAGTGCCTCTCGCCGTCCCGAGTGCTCGCAGAGACTCCTGCTCAGAGGCCTCCAGCCCGCAAAGGTGCCGTTCCTGCTCCCCACCGCCAACCTCACTGCAGTCACACGCTCGGTGGCACTGGAAACTGCTCATTTGCTTATCCGATGATTCCCCTCAGAAGAATGCGGGCGCCCTGAAGGCGAGGGTATTGTGGGTTTATCTGTATTCCTAGAGCCTCGGCCAGTCCCTGGCAAATGCACGTAGGAGTCAGGGAAAGGAAAAGGCCTGCGTTTAGCTCCAATACTGGATTAGCCAGACAGGAAACTCGGCACACCTCCCCTGCCCTAAGGCAGAAAATCTAGAAGCTGAATACCACTGGCTTTTGATACCCACAGGTGAAGACTCCGCTTTAGACCTAACGACACACTCATGAAGGTCTGTCCCTTCTGTGTGTAAGTCCATGAGCTGGCAGCTCCACGGCTATGCTAGGTCATCTGTCACGGGAGAGCTGGGCCTTTCGAGGGAGCTTAAGGCAAGTAGCAATGGGGTTGTTTACAGTTGTTCCTCTGTGTGGGGAGTTACATACACAGAGAACACATGTTTATGTATGAACACAATGCGTCCAGGTACATGTGTACATATGCGTGCCTGTGCGCGCACACACACAGAGGGTGCATGGCAGATTCTCGGGAAGGATGGGGAGGCAGGGTCCCTGCTTTGGGATGGCTCACCCACGGGAGCCCTCTGCAGGACCTTGAGCAGAGCTCCTGGGGGGCACCCACAGGGAAGGTGTGTGTAATCCAGACACCCCATGCCTGGGAGCCCTTATGTTGGTATATCCACATGGCCTAGGAAGGCTCCCAGGCAGGGCACGTCCAAACAGCATGCGTCAGCTCCAAGTGCTCCATGAGGGAGGAGCTACTGTGCTGAGGGAGGGGTCCTGCACTGTCCTGCAGCAGAGGTCACATGGGCTGGGGGTACTGCAGTCTCTGATGCCCTCTGGGAGACTCGCATTGCGGAGCTGTGCAGTCGCGCTGACCGCTGGGCCAAAGGGGCACAAACATCTCTCTTCCCCGTCCTATAGCCCGGCTTTCCCACTTGGCATTGAGAGTTTTCCAGGGCCGTGGACTGCTGGAAGGTCACCAGGCCTTTCTTTCAAAGAGCCCCCAGGTGAGTTTGAAGCACCAGCCTTTCACGTAGGAGCCAAACATCTAACCAGGGGCAACACACAAGGACCTCATCCTTTTTGGACCAACAACATCCATTACTGTCTCCTCCTCACAGAACGAGCGGTGCACCTAGCACCCTCAATAAAATGCAACACTGCCCTAGCTTCAAAATCAGGCTCTTTAAACCCAAGGCACAGGTGAGGTCAGAGGGAGTTTTGTGGAAGGTTAGCAACAGCAGAGAACCGGACAGAAGCATTATCATCTCTTTATGTTCAGCAAAAGAGAAGAGGCCTTCGGTTACCTCTGGGCTGTTTCTTCATCTTGATATGCGTCCTTTTAACCCTCAGGGAAATATCATGGAAGACTGCAGGGCGGAGAACACACAGGAAGATTCATCACAGACCGCCCTGAACAGCCAGTGCACTCTGACCCCAGATGAGTGATCGGTTTTATTCCATTTCATGCGAACCTCCTCAGGAGAGATGCTGTCTCCATGTTTTCCACATTTAGTTGTAAGCACACAGCAACAAACAGAAAAGCACACAGACACCCATGGAAGAGCACGCCCCGCGGCCTCCGCCCCCCCCCCCCCCCCCCCCCCCCAAAGTAAAGAGGGACTCACTGGTGTGGTCTTCATACCGCTCCACATAGTGCAGATAGTGGACTGCTCTGTTCTTCGCCTGACAGAAAGAAGGAAAGTACCCTTCTTCACACCACTGCCGACGTCTCACATTGTCCCCGGGAACTTCACAATTAGTTCTTAAAATAGCTTACTATGAAAAACAAGGTCTCAGTCACCTATGAAAATTTTAGCTCTGTGATGATTTCTAACCGGTAAGGACTTACATGGGCATCCTTCCCAGCAGCATCAAGCATTCGTCCATGCTCAAACTCCCCCAGCTGCCTCATCATGGTGGGAATCAATCCCAAGTGTAGGGAAATTAAGACAAAACACAGGTACTTCCGACAGAGGATTTTTTAAAAGTAATATTTAGCAGGAAGCTTCAAGCAAGGTTCTGGGGCCAATTCTTTCTCTCTCTTTCTTTTTCATGGCTCCTAAGGGTATTGCACATAACGTATTGATCTTTTACTGAATGTCAACAAAGGGAAAATGGACATACTTTTCTGAAAGCGTCCATCCGCTCAGCAGCTTTCCCAAGGGCAAAACCTGTAAGAGAAAAAGAAAAATCATGGAAATGACATACATTTGGCAAAAAATGTGCCTTCCACTACATTTCACATCTCAGCTCCCGCCATGTCTCCAAGCTCTTCTCCTTTCGAGCCCGGCCAGCAAAGCAGTGGTCCCAAACAGGCCAGGGCAGGAGGAGCAGAGATCTGATCACCCAAAAGTGTTACAGTTGAACAAATCTAGGAAATCCACGATTGGAAGTATAACATTATCTTTTATGACGCCAGAGAAAACTAAAGATGTTCAATTGATAAAAAATTTTAAAACAAAAGAAAAACCGAATACGAGTACCTCTCTAAGTAAACAAGGCAAATAGCTTTGGACCTTTTCCAGAACAGACTAAAATAACCAGAAATGGTAGGGCAGGATCGGTTAATGCTAGAAGAGAATTATAATTTCATTGGAGCTTTCAAATATGAGTCACATTTCAGTACACGGGAATTAAATCAGTGATAACTCTTAACAACTGAATGGACTAACAAAATGTGACATATGTACACAACGGGATATTATTCAGCTGTGAAAAGAAGTCAAGACCTGACATATGCAAACACGGATGGAACTTGAAAATATTAAGCTCAGTGTAATGGTCCAGGCACAAATATTGAGGCTTAACGAATATTGAGCAGTCCCACTTAACAGAAACACTGAGACTTGGCAATGGGTTTATGAGTGGTTTGGGCGGGGCTGAAAGAGAGGGCAGGGAGTTGTTCTGCAGGGGGCAATGAAATGCAGGTGCACCGAGACCGCGGCGAGGACTTCGCGTGTTTGGGCACACTCATCTCTACACTTACAAATGACTAAACTGGCAAATCTTTTGTCAACTGAGAGGGCTTTCTTTTAATTCTGTATTTCCACAAACTTTTGGAAGGCCCCTCATATATACTTAATCAAAATGCAGTTATTTCTGAGGATGTTAAATCAATGAAATGAGAGTTTTCCCCTGATATGGAAAGGCACGCACTGTTTGTTGCCACCATCTAATTGTCATTTTGAAGAAGGTGGTTTTTCAATGACACACAGGAAAGAACCCCAAGACCATGCTGCCTCCGAAAACAAGCGGGCCATCTGAGACCCAGGGACAAAAGGACTGTGGATTCTACTTAATTCCTAGTATTAACAAAGCAAATGAAACTACATTAAGTCCTAGTAGAAAACACAACTGAGCTTATTTATAATTTTCAAATGAAGGCTTTCTAAGCAAGACAAAACCAAACCAAATTCACTGCCATCGAATCATTACTGACTTATAGCAACACCCTGTGGGTTTCCAAAGACTGTACTGTTTATAGGAGTAGAAAGCCCAGTCTTTCTCCCAAGGAGATGCTGGTGGTTTCGAACTGCCAACTATGAGGATCACAGCCCCACACATTGCCACTACACCACCAAGACAAAAGCATGCGTGGAAAACACTGGTGAAGTGTTGTTGGGTGCTAGAGAGTCGCTGCTGATTAGCAGACAGGAGAACTGCCCCAGTGCGAGTCCCAGGCTGTAATCTTCATGGAAGCAGGTTCCCCTCTGCGGAGGTGGAGGGTTCTGATTAGCAGCCTACCACGTAACCGTGGTGAGAAACAAATTAAGATGAGCATGAGATTTTGAAAGGGTTTCTGTCCCTACCTTACATAGCTTATATCCATCCTTATATACATAAGGCAAAGAACAAATTTCTTAATAGAACAATGGGCAGAGGACATGAACTGACGAATTTCAAAAAGGAAATAATAATGGCCAATAAGCATGTAAGACTATCCAAGGACATGGAAATCAAAACGCAAAGGTAGTTTTCTCATATCAGGTTGGCAAAGGGCAAAGCTTGATCAGACCCAGTGCTGGCAAGGGCAGGATGAGACACACATACATTGATGCAGCCTCGGGGCGGGCGGGCAGTCTGGCAGGACCTGTCACATTAACATGCATACACTACTGAAGCAGCACTTTCACTGCAAGAACTTGTCCTTATCAATTTCTTTGCAAAAGCATTACAAGTGAGACGTATAAGAAACTCACATTCAGCAATAGGGAAAAGCCTATAAAAATTGTATTTATCCCTAGAAAACCAGGATAAAGAATAAGGAGTAAAATATTAAACAGGGAGCAAATCTATGGATATAATAAAACCTCCTTTGTATAAACTGGGGAGAAAGATATACTATGATCTATAAATACAAACTTTCTGTAAGGACACAAAGTAACAGTTAAGAGAGGTTCTCTTGGGAAGTAGATCTATGTGCATATATTTATAGGTTTAGTATTAAGGGAGCAGATGGACATTAGGCCTCCACTCAAGTACTCCCTCAATGCAAGAACACTTTGTTCTATTAAACTGGCATTCAATGATGCTCACCTTCCTAACACGATTGCTGAAGACAGAGTGGGTGCATAAGCAAATGTGGTGAAGAAAGCTGATGGTGCCAGCTATCAAAAGATATAGCGTCTGGCGTCTTAAAGGCTTGAGGATAAACAAGCGGCCATCTAGCTGAGAAGCAACAAAGCCTACATGGAAGAAGCACAGGAGCCTGTGTGATCACGAGGTGTCAATAGGATCTGGTATCAGGCATCAAAGAACAAAAAATCCTATCATTGTGAATAAGGGGAAGTGGGGAGCCCAAAGTCCATCTGTAGGCAAC